CAGGTTCAGTTCCTGCTGACCTGTGTTTTTTCCTGATGCTGTCACAATTTGTCACCAGAAGTTTTCATGCAACTGGTGTTGGCAGCACAGTCACACTGCCAACCTGTGTTACAGACACAGACCTTCCTCAGGCAACCTAACAGGGCATGAAGCCCACCATGAATCCAGTCCCACTTACTACAGAAAATCAAGACCATCACAAAAATCCCATTTGGTCTTACTACCACATTATACACAAATATGCCACATTCACAAACAGTTTAGTTTATCTGTCAGGAACAGACATCATGTAGCCTTCACACTGGTAAACAATTACTCATAGAAGCCTTAAGTATTTGGTGACTAAATATTTATAACAACCTAACAATTGCCTAACATGTTCCTCAATTACTGTATTTCATGGTTTTTTTTCAAATTACTCCTATAGACAGAACTTAACTTCCTCTAAGAAATAAAGCAGAAAAACTAACTTTTACAGGAGAGAAGTTCTTTTTACCTTCCCAAAACCAACTTTTTTTTTTGAGTTTGTCATGATACAAAGCAAGTCACTAGCAATAAGCAATAACAAAACTAATTGTAACATGCTGCCTGGAATTGAAGCTACAAAAGAAACCCCAAAACTTACTTCCAAAGTTTGCTTGAACTAGAAAACATATTTTCTTTGGAAAAACAAAAGTACCACAGTTCTTGTTTCACAAACACTGAACAGTGAAGGAAGGCCAAGAGTTTAAAATGAAATCCACATGAACTTGGTTCCCAAATGGATTGGGACACTGATGAGAAACTGCAACTCCCCAGAAACTCTCCAGCATCCTTCACAGCCATCAACAGTTAAAACTGAGGCTGCATTACAGCAGAACTTAACACAGGACCAATTACTACTTACCTGGAGGTTTTTTGATCAAGTCACCATCTTAAATTATTCTGGACAACAAATTCTATGTAACCTAAAATCTGAGGTTTAGTATTTGATGCAATAAAGCCTGGTTTGGCTCTTGCAAAAACAACTGATACTAAGGCTATGTTTAATTCAGATGACCTGAAAAGACAGAACATTCAGAAGAATATGACTTTCAGTGAAAGTTTATCAGAAAAGTATAAAGAGATTAAAAATTGCTGTGTTTAAAGGAAATCTCCCTGCCACAAGCTCACTGAAGTAGTAATGTTTCTTGGCACTAGTTCTTAGTACAATACTAAGTGTAATACCATGGCACTAGTTCTTGGTACAACAGTCCATGAGCATCTTTGTACTTCATGAACTGCAAACTCTACATAAAGGCCTTTAGCACTTAGAGGAGTTTTAATGTGTGCATGTTCCAATATAACTCTTAAATATTGTGACCAGCTGCACCAGTCCATCTAATAAAGTAGGATGCAATAACCACAGAGACCAAAATACAGGCAGCACCCACTTTCATCTAGGCACAAATGCAGAATCTATTTCCAGTCCCTGTCTGCTGCTGATGAATAGCCTGAAGCACAACAAGTTCAACTGAATTTGTCACACAGGAGATTTTGAATTGGACAGTGGCCCACAACACTGAGAAAGGTGCTTGCTGTGCTAGCAGCATAAGCTTTTCTCCTATTTTTATCAACGGCTTCACAAGAGGTTTTTAAAGCCATTACATTGCTAACAGTACAACAGCAGCCATCAAGTATGTTCAAATGAAATCAAACTGATGACAGCTTAAGTTCAAGCTGGAGGAATAATGTAACAGGCTCGAGGTTAGAGGAACACCCATTCTGTTACTCTTGGTACAGGACTTCCAGCAGGAAGGCAGACACATGGATGGGGCCCTCTTCAGCTCCTCCTCCACCCCAGCCTGTGCCATGATTCACACCCCAAGGACATCTACACCCAAAAGTCTTCTAGGCCACTGAAGTTCATCAGAAGTGAACTAATCTGAAAATAAGAAAATTCATAATAGTTTTCCCTTAGTTCAGTATGGCAGACAATGAAGAGGTGCTTCTTGCTTTGTTTTGGTGATGGTTTGTTGCTTACTCTGCAACCATCCCTCCCTAAATGAGATTAAAATCCAGCTGTAAACTGATTGCAGTATATACCAAGAAAAAATTTCAGCATCCATAGAAAACAGTTGTTACATTACACTATAAACATATGATCAATAAATCACAGAATAGTCTAGATTGGACGAGATCTTCAAAGACCATCTGGTCTCCCATGAGAAAGGGAGCCCAAATGAGATAAATTATCTAGCACCCTGTCCAATCATATCTTGAAAACCTCCAGTAATGGAGACTCCATTATGTCTCCAAGGATATTTTCCCAGTGACTGACTGTTCTCACTGCAGAAAAAAAAAAGTCTTTCTTAAATCAAATGAAGCCTCTCCTGGTGCAACTTGTAGCCATTGCCCTTTGCCTTCTCCATATGGTTCCTTGTCAAAAGAGAGCCTCTCTCTTTGTACCCACCCTTTAAGTAAGATTCAACATGTTTGCTCTGATTCTGATTTATATGAAAGTTTGAATCAAAGGTTGGGAACCACTGTCTTACCCTTATCAGTAAACTAATGAGCAACTAGAAGCCCTCAAGGTTCCTCATCACCAACACACCTACCCTGAATTTCTATGTTTCAACATACAGCCATTCCAGAATTAGGAGGCCGAATCAGGCTGCTTAGCAAAAGAATTTGTAAACTTTCTAGTTTGTCTGTGAAATGTGTCACCAAAAGAGCCTTTACCTTCATCCTCAGAAAGCTTTGCTGCACCAATACACCTGGTCACAAAAGTACATATGAATATTTCATTACTATCTCCCAAGAGCTTAAAAGACTATAAATGACCAATGAATGAGTCCACACATACTGTCCAACAGACAAATCACCTTCCTTCCATCAAATATATTTAAATGTTCAGTCACAGACATTTCCCATTTCATTTTTCAGCCCTATAATATATCCTTACAGAGGATATATTAATCTTTAATCTGTACCCTTAAAGCCAAAACTATCTCATTTTGTAAACTGTTACCCTGCAATGTCAGCAAATTAACATCCCAATCAATTTTTCCAAGACCCAATCTGTACTAATTTGCCAATCGTTAGCCTTTTTTTTTTTTTAAGAAAACACTAGGGTGCTCTTATCTCCGTATCTTAAAGCGTTTCCCTCCCACAAAAAATTCTAAAACCAAATCCCAAACATTAATTTCTACAGTTAAAACTTTAAATGACAAAACCACTTAAGCCAAACAACCACTTAGTTCTGAGTTTCTTTCCCAAGCTACCACCATTGACTTTAGATAGTAGTCCCTTTCCAAAAAGGGTTGCACATTCCACTTCTGTAGGTTCTAGACTCTTTTTATTGGGTTTTAAAAGTGTATTTAACAACCTCAACCAGGAATTTTCCCTGACTAGTGACATGGACACAGGCGTGGGACACCTCCGGGTTTTTTTAATTTAGCAAGTGCTGCACAGTGACCACCAAGACTAAACAAACACTGTTTATATGGGGCAAGGATCACATTTAATTGGCCACCATTTATGGATGAGCCCAATGTTAACGCTGAACAAACAACTGCTTGTGCCCACTTAGCACAAAGGAATCCCAATTCAAGAATAGACACAAACGGAACTCTACAACCAAAAAAAAAGAATTGAAATTGCAGTTTCACCACTTTGTTGAAGGTTGTCTGCTGCTGCATTGCACCTCTACCCATTAAACCAGGCTCATTCAACTTGCAGCAGTTTTAAACACAAGAACCAAAATGCCCCAAAAGTGACACTTTCTTTAAATTGCTGTCCTCGCAATACCACAAAAATTTCCTGACATAGAACAGGCATGCAAAATCTGCTTTCAGATTGCATATAACTGACCTGAAACACAAAAATTTCTGTAAGATAACTTCAATATTGCAGTATATTTAATACTATTAAAACAAGGACCAAGATATTTGAATATTTGCTGTTTTACCAATCAGTGCTGTCCTTCCGGGCCGTCTTCCCAAAACGTCCTCCTAAATTTGGGAATTTCTTTGTAACAGTTACCACAGGAATTGTAATTCTGTACTTTGTTACCCATCAGAGTAATCGCAGAGCAGGGTCTGACAGAGGTGAGTGAGTAGGGGATGAGCCACGACTCTTCTCGCTGACAACATACAGAGACTAAATCACCACAAACTTTTGTAGGGACAAGGACAAGTGGGTCAACTGACAACTCAGCCTTTTTCCAACCTGCTATTCCTAGTGAAAGCAAGGCCCAAAGCAGCAGAAACAGACATGTTCTCTTAACTGTATCTCTCTTGCATACCCAAGTATGAGCCTGGCAAACCTTTCTTTTAATCACCCAACCAAATATTTTCATTTTAGAGTTTGCTTTATATACCAATCAGAACCACAGAGGGTTTTGAGCTGTCATTTAAAATGCTATGTGTAGAGGTGGCCTTAGTCAAGAAAAAGCACCTGAGAATCCTGAGGTCCAGTACTGACTTCATTTTACACTTTTCAAGTGAGACCCTTCTACTTCTGGACAGTCTGTAAAATGAATTATAACCACCCCCCAGATTACAGATATGTTACTTAAACACATCATACACTGCACCTGCAAAAACTATGGGAACGAATACCCACCGTCCCCGAAGGTGTTTTAAGGAAAGACTGAACACTTAGTGCCACGGTGGTGCTGGGTCACGGGCTGGACTCGCTGATCTCAGAGCTCTTTCGCAGCCTCGCTGATTCTGCGAACGCCATTAAGTACAACACACCCATCCCCCCGGAGGCCCCGTGAGTGGCGAGGCCGCTCTCCCCTCGGCCCTGCCTCGGCCAAGGGGCCACACCAGCACCCATCGCTGGACGCCGCCGGCTCCCAGGGACAGGAGCGGCGCCGTGGGCTCCCGCTGCCCCCGGATCCCGCGCCGCCCGACCCTGACCATCACGCCGGCCCGCTGCCCTTCCTCTCCGCGCCCACCCCAGGCCCCGCAAGACCCCGGCCACACGCGCCTCCGCCCCGGGCGGACCCCGCCCCGCGAGGCCCCGCTGCAACCCACCTGCGCCTCCTCCCAGCGCGGCAGCCATGGCTCCTGCGCCCCGGCCAAGCGGCGGCGCCGGCGGCGGTCGCGGCAGCGCCCCGGCCCAACCCGCCGGAGGCGGCGGGTCCGTGACGGCTGAGGGAGGTGCGGGGAAAGGAACGCGGGAAGGGCTCGGACTCGACTTCCCCGCGGGTCCGCTTCCCCCGCCTGAGAACAACAAAACTAACACAACCAGGGCGGCCGCCGCCGCTGTCGCCGGCCGCGGTGCACCATGGACGGGCGGCGATCCCGGGGCCCTCCCCCCGCGGCGGGGCGGGCGGGCTGCGCGCGCCGCTGGTTGTCACCCCCGCCACCCCGGTCGCCTCCGCGCGGTGCGCGGGGCGGGAGGGGGCGCGGCGTGCGCGCGCCGGGGGCGGCGGGGAGCTGCGGGTGCGCGGGGCCCGGGGGCGCAGTGAGGGCGGGGGCGCAGGAGGGCGGAATGGGCGCAGTGAGGGCGGAATGGGCGCAGTGAGGGCGGAATGGCTGCTGGGAAGGGGAATTGAAGGGAAGGGAGGGAGGAAAGGGAGAGGAATCGTCTGTCCCGGCTGCGTGAGGAGGGGGACAAGCAGGGGCTTCACCTGCTCTGGATAAACAGTGACCAGTGGGAATGGGAGGGAGGAGCTCCCACACCTCCCTGACGAGGGTTTGCAGCTGTGTCTTGCCAACGTGGGCGGCTGCTCGGACCGGCTCTGGAATGGCCGGCTCGCGTAGGATCACAGAGTCACGGAATCAATTAGGTTGGAAAAGACCCCTGAGATCATCGAGTTCAAACCTTTACTCAGCCCCACTGTGTCAACCAGACCAGGGCACTCAGTGCCACATCCAATCTTTGCTTAAATACCTCCGAGTCGGTGACTCCACCACCTCCCTGGGCAGCCCATTCCAATGTCTAATCACACTTTCTGTGAAGAAGTTCCCCTGTTGTCAACTTGAACCTCCCCTAGGCCCAGCTTAAGACTCTGTCCTCTTGTCCTATCACTGGTTACCTGGGAGAAGAGACAGCCCCGCACTTGGCTACAACCTCCTGTCAGGGAGTTGAGGAGAGAGAGAAGGTCACCCTGGGCCTCCTTTTCTACAGCCTAAACACCCTCAGCTGCTTCTCACAGGACTTGTGCCCCAGACCCTTCAGCACCTTTGTTGCCCTTCTCTGGACATGTTCCAGCACCTCAATGTCATTCCTTAACTGAAGAACCAGAACTGGATGCATTGGGCTGCATGGAGGCTTCATTAGGTTGCGGGTCCAGCATGAACCCCCAAGTTCAGCTGCCTGTTGGGTGAGAAAAAAACTATAAGTTAGTGGGATTAAAATACACCACGAAAGGGATAATTTGGGGAGAGTTACGTAGATCAGTGATCCCCCATCTTTTAAGGCTTTGAGTGTGCAGGGGAGTAACATGTATAAACTGAACTAAACCAGTTCAGACCGTGTGGTTCTTGCTTCTCCACTCAAACGTCACCCAAGCACACACTGTACAGGTTCAGTGTTACAACATGCTCAGTCTAGTTCACTGTAGGCTGTGCGTCCTTCTCTGCTGTCACTCTAAGCACTTCCCTCCTGGCTGCTTGGCTCCTTGCTCCTCTCTCCTTTCCAAAGGATCCAGTGATCACATGCTTGCCAAGTGTATCAGTTTGGATCACTGATCCCACAGAAAATCAATTACCAAAAAAATCTTCCTTTTGAGTTTCCTTCCTGCCCTCTCCTAGTTTTAAAAGGGGAAATTAGGACTTGTGGCATTCTGCACAGACCAGGTTAAGCACAATATAAAATTATGCCACTACTTGTGAAGAAACCAGATCTGATCTAAAACAGTTTAATGGAGCCTACTATACTACTTTACTTTAGTTCAAGTAAACGGCAAAACTTTCCCAGTTGGACAAGTCCTCATGGAAATAATTAACAATGTTAGTATTTAAATTATCGGCGTTATCTGATTAAACCCTCGCTATGAGAATAGGGAAGTTCTCATGTCACTTTGTTCTGTGCTCCCTGCAGACTTGTCTCTATATTGCGTTTGATCTCATTTTTAAGGTTTCCTTCACAACTACAGAAGCTAGAGGTTTATTCTATATGTATTCCTACGCTCTCACAACTGAATTCTGTCTTTAATTTAGGAAATAGACCATTGGTAGGTGATGCTTGCTGATAATTTAATATGTAGTCCTTCAGACCAGCTCTGATTGCCTGATGTAGGAGTGATGAGTGAATACTAGAACTGTCAGTGGTAAAAACCTATGATTATTTCAACAGGGCCAGTTGCTCTTTGGTATTGATCTTTTTTAGTGAAGCTGGTTTGCAATACAAAAGGGTTTCCGGGCAAAGGACGGAGTTTCCTGGACCCTCTAAAGGCAGGATGGAGAAGAAGTGTGAGGGGTGAGACTCAGTTACAGCTGCAGCCTGTTAAAATTCACAGCTCTCTCATCATAATTCTCTGTGTCCCTTCTGTTCAAGGCTGGGAAATTAAGTGTTAAACATAAGCAGTATTCACAATGAGCAGCTTTTGTGACATTCAGATACATAGAAGACTGTATTTTATGGGTCTTTTATGTTCTATATTTTTGCTCTTTTTAATATCTAATTTGATTGCTATGACTGACACTCCAAATAGAACTCAATTTACCATTTGCTTAACACACCAATCCAATGTTAAAGAGGAATAACAGAATACTTAACTACTATTTTGTTAATATACAGAAACTTCAGCCATTTTGCACAGCTCTGGTACAAAAAAAATGACCATTCCCAGATATCTGAACTTCAGTAGCTGTGGAACAGGGACCTAAACAATAATGGCAGAGACAGGTATGGTGACTCTGCTTACCTTCGCTCAGGACTTTCTATGAGTTTTCAAATTCCAGAAGCTATAGTTGCTCTGGATTCTATATAAAAAACTCCAAATTTTGCTCAGTACTACATACCCTGTGCTATAAAATGCAAGTGTGTTCGTGCCTTTTTAATAAGTTAACATACTTGCAGCCTCTGGAATCCATGAATTAAAATTACTTTATGTGAACTAGTCATCATCACTTTATTAAATACTTTTGAAAGTTCTGCATAAATAATATATTTGCCTGTGAGTCTTCCAAAGCAAATCCGTTTGCAGTCGGGAGTGCAACAGATTGTCTTGCAAGGCGATTAAGTGAACAACAGAGAATTCCAGATCCAGTAATTCTGGTTCTGTACTTGCTGCATTACTGGGGCAGGTTGCTTTGCATCTCCTGCCTCAGATTTCCCTCTCTAAGCTGATAAGAATAGTGCTAAACTTCTTCTTTTAAACCTTTCAGTAAAAACTGCTGTGTCCTAACTTCTGTACATTAAGCTGTTTCCACAGCAATAGTCATTATCACTTTTATTTATACTGGGTTTGAATGTTAACTTTTTTTTTTTTTTTCAAAATACTTAGTAGCTTATTTTTGGAACAGGCACAATCATTTTTTTATGTTTTTTATATTTAAATCGTTATTTATTTTTGCACATACACTCAAATGGTTAAAAATCACCAGTCAGGAATCCAGTACAGCAGCCTTTTGAGTTTAATTCCTTTAAACACTTAAAATTAATACGAGGGCATTAAGAACAGTGTTATCAACAGCAAATTGTTCCTAATTCCCTGGAGAAAATGTGCTTCTAACTTATTCTTTTAACCATAGTTACCTCTTTGTGAGCTTTCTTTCTAGTCTGGCAAACCCAGACTGCATTTTCATAGCATGAGAGGCTGGCCCAGAGCAGTGGTCCAGTTGAGGGCTGAACTTCTCAAAGTGACACTCAACTCCGAGACACTGTTTTCCATTCAAAGTTAAACTTGTCTTTGGATGAATTCCTCCAAACCAGACAATAAACAGCTCTTGGGTTATTTCAGCAACATCCTGTGATGCAACAAAAGTTCTGTCACACTTGACAGGAGATTCTGGATTTAAAATGTACAAATGAGGGGTGAAAATCAAATTCACTCTCTTGTAGGTGTCATGTAGGACCTGATCTATGACCTGTTGGCAGTGGCAGCAATTGTAGGAGGCAGCAGTACCTCTTGAAAGATAGCCACAGGTGAAAGATGCTTTCTCTTTGAGCAAATTCCCTTGAAAGGTGGAAGTAGATTAGGAAGTGGAAAAGACTTAAAAATAATAAATTTCTTACTTAAGAAAAGAGAACAGTATGAGGATTAATACAAAGTTTATGGAAAACGCTGGTGTAATAAACTTTGAACAGAAAACATTCTAAGTGTATTTCAGCCCCACGACTATCTGTAGTTTCAGAGCTGTGAGCAGTTTCATGTGTACCAAATTTTGATATCACTGTAATTTTTCTTTCTGTTTCCTTCTGCATTCTTGTTACATATTTATGCCCTTGCTGCAGCTTATCTCCCTTGTTGTCTGCAATCCACTTGATGCATCTTATTTCGACTGTAGTTTCTTCAGAGCAATGTGACCCTGGGACCCCTGAAACAGCTGCAAGGGTGGAGAACAGGAGAGCCTGTGAGCTGAGAAATGGGCTGAACAAGCAATATGTCAAGTGTGTTATTAATGTGTCATGTGTGGAGTCCCTGGAAAGCTGATCAATCACCAAAGATCAAAATCTCAACAGAACACATATCTTCTTGTAGTGTAAAATATAAAAATTATTACCAGCTCCAACTGGCTGCAGGGAGGTTTGGGCTTTACTTTGGCTTCTGAACTGAGAGCAGCACTCAGAAGCCTGGGTATTGCTCTGGCCCCCAGTATTTGCAGTATATTTTAGGGATCTAGAGAAAAGAAATCAAGAAACACCAACTGTTAAATATATTACAGTGGTTTATTTCTATTTTTTTTTCAGTCTGGATACTGGAAGTCTTAATGACTAAGCTTTACTTCGTTTCACCAGGAAGCCCATCTGGTGTCAGGACAGCAGGGGAATTGGGGTGAAGCTGACAAATGTCAGTCCTTCCTTGGAAGAATGACTCAATGCAGTAGAAAATGTTTAAGATCCCCCATTCTTAGGTAAAGGAAGTGGTAGCCCATGATAAACATATCAGAATAAATAAGTCTTGGGAGTGTTTCCCA